AGATTTAAAAAAATCTGAATTAAACACAACTTTTTAGGAGTGTGTTTAGACCTGCAAACTGAGGTTCATTGGAAATTTCTGGATTTCCTCTCCCTGGAAGTTAATTGCCTCTCTACTCAGGTAATAAATGATGAAAATGCCCCTCTAATGCCTTTCTCATCACCAAAAGATACTACACAAAGGGGCAGTATTGTTACTGATAGCACCCTATGTAAAGTGGAGATTCTGTGGATGAGAAACAAGAATGGGATATGAGAAAAATCTTGGCTCTGTGGAATTTGGCCTAAGTATATAAAGACATAACTCTCAGTTTAACAGATTCCATTTGAAAGATGCATTTGTCAAACACACTACTTGTCTTTTAGGACAAAGGATACAAAAGGAACAGAAATCTAAATATCTCCAGAGGGAACATTTTTTCTTGTTAGACTATGTATATAGGATATGGCTAAAAGCCTTTATAATGATAATGCTGGGGAATAGAGCCTCCACATGAACATTAGGTTATGTACTTTCTATTTGGCTGTATGATGGCAGTGATTTGTGGGACAAGCTTTGATCCATAGTGTTTTGAAATCTATCTTGTAATGAGTCAAACTTAGCACCTGCTTCTGCTCTGTGAGCGTGTCAGAGCTTAAGATGGTGTGGGAACATTGTGCTTAATTTACTAGGATATATTATTATAAAGAGAAAAACTAGGTGTATGTCCCTATAAAAGACTGACAGATTGAGGTAAGAGAACTTGCCTTTCGTCCATTTGAGTAAAGATAGAATTAATTCCAACAGAAAGAATGGCAATTGAATGGGGGAGAGAATAAAGAAAACTAGTTATATGAGGTGCCTGTAAAGTAATGAGATAACTTTTAAGCACACATTGAGCCAATATTTGAATTGGTGCTGCCCTTCAAAATTACCTTGAAAGAACATATCTGTATTCCAGGGGTGTTGCTATTGCTCAAAACATCATGGGCACTACTCATGGAGATTTTTCTCTTTATGATATGGATTTATGGTTAATATCACTTCATGATGACAGACTATGGCGTTATTACTATTCCTTTGCCTGTTTGTAAATGGACAGAAGAAATACCATTCCATGGATCAGTGTCTCCCCATTATAAGCCTTTATATACCGATGGCATATTCTCTGAGCTTTCACAGAAAGACTACTATGTGGTGGCAGCAATGTGAATATAGCTCTTTGCTCTCAAGTGCTCAGCTCTAGATCTCTCTACTCAAAAGGATTAGGGCACACAATTAGGATCAAAGTCTTTCTTATAAAGTGATTCTGACAGAGCAGTGACCAGAGATAAAGGAAGTCCAGGTACCAGCCAAGTCTCTAAAGAAAATTCCTTGCCATAAGAGTAATAAATGCTGGTTGATTTCATCTGATGGGACACAGGTGTTGCTTTGGTATACAGAACACTTTGCAGCAGTATTTATTGTAATGTGATTTTATCTGTTTTGTTAGATTGAACACAAGAAGAATGTTAGATGGATTCCAGTAAGTGAAATTCTCAGTTAGTTCAGCTGGAATTTGGAAATGTATGCAATTTCTCTCAACACATCATTCTGTAAACACATATTTGTTGGACATATGATGTGTGTGTTAGGAATGGTTCTAGATGTTCAAGGAACAGTGATATATAAGACAGATCTGAGCTCTACCTTGTTAATGTGTATATTCAGGTATTAAAAAAATAGATAGTAGAGAGTGACAAATTATAGAGATATTTCAGGAGCCATGAGAATATATTGTAGGTGTACTATAGTCTAGAGGTCTTTAAAAAGTGAAGGAAGAGTGGCAGTTAGGGAAAAGGAAGGTAGAGGAAGAACATGTCATGTGAAGAGAATGGAAGGTACAAAAACCTGTAAGAATCTAGCAAAGTATAACTGAACTGAAAGAAGTATCTAAAAGATGGGAGCTCTTTAGAGCTAACCTGTAAACCCTAATAAAGCTGCTTCAAAAAACTCTGTAATGCATGCAATGTAATGTAATGTTGGAGAACCTAGGATTGGAAGAGATTTGGGCTAACATTGGGAATAAAGTTCCTGCTCCTTCAAGGTCCTTGATTGAGGAGCTGTCCACGATGTGAGTGCTGAATAGCTGAAGTCAGAACTTGCCTAAGGAAGCAGGTGGTACAGGAGCTAGTGACTACCTAAAGGTTGGGGGAGAGGAGAGTTCTTCTTTGTCTTTTATCCATTTTCCTTCTCTTTCACTTATATATTTCCTTCCTCTACTTCTCCCTCCTCCCATTTTCATTTTCTGGCAATCTGGCAGCTATAGCTCACTCTCTCTAGGAGGAAAAGGAAGAATATGTTTCTTGCTCCTTCCCCTTAGAAGGAGTCTACACAACATTGATGACAGAAAATTAATAAAAACACTCACCTCTATCATCTTGGGGTTGCATGACTAGTTATTATTGCTAAATGGTCCATCCCAGCCTCTTCTGAGGCATCAGGTGGGGAGATTATTATTATTATTGTTATTGTTATTGTTATTATTATATTGTAGTTATTATTAGTAGTTATCACTGACTGAGCACTTACTGTGGGCCAGGAAGCTTACCAAGAACTTTACTCTCTAAGCCTCAGAGTAAACTTTATTATCTCTGTTTTATACAACATGACTTGACTTGGAAGATCAGTGGTTGTGACTTGTGCTACTTTTTTCCCAATAAGTTATCTGAGGCTACATAACTGAGGGATGAGGGTGGAGGATGTGGGAAATAAAATTCATTGATACTTACTATATATAGATGCTTTTGACAGTCATTTTATTTAGTCTCATAACAACGCTGTGAAGTTGTACTGTGATGATACTTTACAGATGTGGCCACCAAGGCCCAGAGAGGTTCAGTGATTGGTTGGGGTCACACAACTATTGAGTGTCGGAGACAGTTTTAAACTTGGGACTATCTGATCCTAAAGCCTATGGTCTTTTATCCACAGTGCTTTTTTAGTTTTATGGGCCAGTCATCTCTACTGGTAAGCGATTTTAGCAACTGAAAACTGCCATGCCTCCTTCTCCTGCAGTTCCATTTACCTCTGGGTCTTGATGCCTTCTATATCATCTTTAGCTCTGGGTGGGGGGAGTAGCTTCCTACATCAGAGCATGTCAGTGGTGTGCAGGCTCCTGGTGAATGGAGTCACTTGTGTGTTCTGTAATTGCACACTTATTAGGTCACAAGGCATCAACAAACCAAGCTGGCCTTTGTCTGAATCCCCACTGGACAGTTTGGTCTCAGTACCAATATTGGAAATGTCAGTCTGGTAAACAGCTTTTAACAGGGAGGAGGGAGGCTGAGAACAAAGTCTCCTTCAAACAAAACTCTCACGGATGGGAGTGAACAGAGTCAACATCTTACTTGCTTTAAATCCCCTGGAGTGGTTATGAAAGAGAGAGGACTTGCTGGATTGAAGAGAAAAAAAACCCTTTGATTCATCTGAATTAATTTAGCATCTCCCAGGAGGAAGGGCTCTGCCATCACCTTCCTGTTCTCCATCCCCTGCATACAACTCTCACAATCCCGGAGGACAAAAGACCAGTCTGTGGTAGGGAGTGCCCACACTGCCCCTTCTTCCACTTTAATTAAATCCATTTGTCCTAGGGGTAGCACTGTGCCTCAGGATGTCCAAGGGCTTTGATCTTTAACCGACACACATCTGAAGGAGTGGGAAACTAGTGCTCAGAGTGAGGACAATCACTTCTTCCTATGACAGCACAGCTGAAGTTATGAGCTCTTGGAAATAGCAGACTCTGTGAAGTTTGAGTGAAGAATTTGAGACCCAACTTTATCCTTACAAAGCTGCATGCCAACTGGCATCACCTTCACCTTGCCTTAAGCTCTTTGTCCTCATTTTTCAGAGGCAAATTCATTAGGATGGTAATTTGGATGGGTTTTAAGAGTCTAATGCAGAGGAGCTAGGGTTGCTGGGTTTGATATTTAGCCTGTTAAAGTTGGCTTTCCCCCTCCAGATCCACTTATCTGCCCCCCCTTCTAGAAATAACTCCCACCCTCTGCCCTCTGCCTATTTTGTTCTGGGACAGATTAGCACACCAGCCATCAAGGGTTCAGTATGATTCATCAAGGAGTCATGTGAGCTGCTGTGCTAGGCTGGGCACTGCTTGCTCCAGGCTGGCTGCAGGTGGCAGACTGGTGCCATCCCGGGGAGACAAGTGGCAGTTGATCTCAGTGGTTACTTCTCCATTGCAGAGCCATGCAAAGTCAATGATCTTCTAGTCCAACCCTCTCAGCTTAAAGATGAGGAAACTGAGACTCAGAGAGGTTCAAGGTCACAAAGCCACTAGTGATCGAATTTAAATAGGAGTCAGGGCCTCTGGTAGAATCACTCCTCTGTTTAGTGAAGAATTTACCTTCTCCTCATCTACTTGCTTCAGGGACCTGACTCCACAAAGTCCTGGACTTGGACTGACCTGAGCACCAGTCCTCATTCTGATGCCAACTTGCTGGTGCCGATAACTCTTTGGTTCTTGATGAGAATCTTGTGAAACGGCAGGTGGGGAACGTGATGAGGTCTGTACTACCTATGTCACACATTTTGTTGTTAATAAGGGATAAATAAAATGTCAAATGGGAAAGTAAGGCAAAGTGCATTAATTAGGAGAAAATATACATATAAAGCCTGATTATTATTTGGCAGTAATATGAGTTGTTCAACTCATGAGTATGAATTTTATTTCTACTACAGATACTGGAGGCAGTGAATCAGGCCAGGCTAGTGATACAAGAGATAAGTGCTCATTAGCCTAGAAATCCTACAGAGAAACTCAGTGCTCCCTACAAGTCTGCAGAAAGTGGTGTGTGTGTATGTGTGTGTGTGTGTGTGTGTGTGTTCATATTTGTGTGTATGCACATGTATGTGTTCATCTGGATGCATGTCTTGGGTAGTGGGGGTGGGGGGAGGGAAGACATGACCCTGTTCTGCATCTTGGCTGATAGAAGAAAAGAGAGTGACAGAAATGGGTGGAGGCTCACCTGTCAGCCACATTGAGAAGAGGCAGCACTGTCCACTGCCACAGGCTCAAGCCTTCATTAGTGGCAACATGCCAGACCATTCTACTTTGTTCCTTCCCAGTTTTGTTCTCCACCAGGACCAAGGAGACGTTTCCCTGCAAGACTCCACGGATGAGCCAGGACATTCGGAGCTGTAAGGGAGAGCAGAGCCAGAAGAACAGGTGTTAATATTAAAAGGAATCCTTAGGTCCCCTTCCTAGAACTCTCACCTGAAGCCTCAAGCATGTTGCTGGAGACTCAGCCAAGGTATGCCCAGTGAAGAAAGCTGGTGACTGTCTGATCTTATTCATTGTCTCTCCAAATGGCTTTCATTAAGATTCAAGGAGCTGGGCAGGGGCAATTAGGGACAAAATTTTGGAATTTTGTTCAGGTTGATCCTAAGTTTCACAAGATTCTGCATCTGAGGTGATATTAAGAATCAATGGGATATGAAGTGAACTTCTTAAAGTGGTTCTGAAGATTCTTGTCTGTGGCCCCGATTAACTTTGTGACCTTGGAGAAGTGATTTTATGACTCAATTTCTTCAATGCCTTAGTATCATAGATTTTTCTTCCTCATTGAGACTCTAATACTCTTATCTGAAAGATACCATGCCATGTGTTAGCTAACCAGAGACTCTATGACTTGATACTTATGGCCACTGGTAGGCAAAGGCGGGACAAAAGTCTACTCATCGAGATACTTTATGATGGTTATCTTTCAGAATTAGGATGTCTACTTTGACAAAAGGAAGCTACAATCATATATTTTCATTGTGTCTTTAGTAAAGTTTCCTATGGCACTGTTCCCTAGATATATGAAAAGGGACTATAGTGAATATTTCTAAAAGAGTTTAAGTGCAGTCATGCCCAGAATCAGTACATGCTATAAACAAGGTCTCTGATATTTTTGTTTGATAGAAACAATCTGTAAACAACATTTAAAACTTAGGACAACTATAGCATATAATTGCCCCAAATATTACTGTTTAGATCCTGTAATTTAAAAAAATGGCTGTTGTGGAATGAAAGGTAAAATATGTCCTATGGCAACTGTAGTTTTCATCTGCTACGTGCCCCTTTTCTTTGATTCTCATTGTTTGAAGACATTCTCTTCTATAAATCACCATTCCTTTGTCTCCCAGTCCCCAAGCTCATGGTTTGCTTATAATTTGATCAAAGAGGTCATATACCATGAACTTCCCACTTTGTTGCACATGGCCTCTTAACTAACAAGGCCACACCTGGCACTGGGGTGCCCAGGTGCTGTTCTACTTCTGAGATCCTGAGTCAGGCAAGCCTGGTCTATAACCATAACCTCTTCACTTATACCTTTCCCATTTCCCAAATCTGGTGTAGCAAATACTTGTCTCCAATGAGTACTCCCAGGATAATTTAACAAATCTGTCAATTGTTTTTTTTCTGATCTCATGTGGCTTCCTTGTGCAATCTAGATGCCATGACTAGAAATTTTAATCCTACTAACTAAGCCCTCTCAGTCTTTAGCCCATGCTGCGTGCCCTGCTTGGAATATTGCTTGCTACATCCTTTCTCTCCTTTTGCTCCTTGGCCACAGAATATTTGATGATTTGGACTGCTGTGAAATCAGACTGTTGAACCTCAGTGCTCTGGATGGTTGTTGGTACTTACTCATCCACTGATTTCCACAGTTGACTTCTGAACACACATAGAACAATGGGTGTTTCAAACTCTTCCTCAAACACTAATGCTGTTACGTTTTGGTCCACAACTCCTGATCCGTTATTTTGATTCTTACTTTACTGATAAAGATTTACTCTATTAGGTGCAATCTACTTCAGCCTCTCTGCCTCCCTCCCTCCCTTCCCTTCTATCCTCCCTTCCTCTTCCTCCTCCACCTCCTCCTCCTCCCTCTCCTCCTTCTACTTCTACTTCTACTTCTGCTTCTACTTCTCAGCATAGGTGTTTATTTATCTACCTTCTCTCTTCTTTTCCTGTCTTAGAGGAAGCTGTATCTTTCATTTTCTTCTATGTTAATCTCCCGTATCCCTCCCCCCCCCCCCCCCCCCCCCAGTCCTTGCTCTCTCAATAACCGCTTCTAGCACCTTAAGACTCTTTGTACCTTTTGGATTTTCTGTCTACAGAAAAGATCAGCGTTCACCCATCCCAGAAAAATATCCCTGATCCAGCTAGCTCCTCTGATGTGCAACCTATTTCTTTACCCCCATTCAGATGTTAACATCTTGGATAACTGGCATGTAACTGCTTTTATTTCCTTGTTGCCCATGCTTTCTTTAAATTCTCTCAACCTAGCTTTTATCTTCATTACTTTAACAAAGTAGCACTCACAATGTCCTTTATAGCTTGCTCTTTCAGCTCTTTCTATGGCCTCCTAAAGTGCCTCTCCCTCTCTACTTTCTCCCTTCTAACTTCTTTTGTATGTTTCTATCACATCTTCCTGTTTACCACTACCATCTGTGACTGATTTTTCAGTGGTTTCTCCTTATCAACTAATATCCAGGCATTCATGTTTCTTTATAATCTAAGAAAATCAGCTTTTTAGGCATTCAATGAATATTTATTGAGTACTTATGCTGATTCACATGTATCCTCCACCCTAGAATGGTCTAAAAGCTTGAGTTAGAGAGATCTGGATTCAAAAACTGTTGTTGTCACTTTGGTTCTTTTGAAGTGCAGTTCTGTATTCCATTAAGATGGAATAGGTTTAGGATTACAGTGACAATTTAATGAGATAACAAATAGTGTAGTAAATGTTAAAAAGGAATTTTGGCTGAAGCACTGAGGCAATAGATACTATACTTCAAAGGGAAGTCTGAGAACACAATGATGTAGGACTTTCAAGAGGGGTGGATGAAAACAGGTTACACAATTCTTAATCTCTCATACATACTTGGATTTTTTAAAAAGTTGGTGGTTGAATACCAGGAGAGAGTTTTTTAGAATGTGCTTTTTGTATATCATGAGTTCCACGTCACTTTACCCTTCTGCAAAGAAGTTTCTCTCTTCATCCCAAGAGAGAAGTTTTAATGATGCCACCTTGAGCATTTACAGTTTGGGGAGCTCAGTAGAATGCTGTCTAACTCCTACCTGGAAAATCTAAAGTATGAACCAGGGGTTGGGTAGCTGCTCTGATGGCAGGACAAAGGCAAGGTGGAACCATTGGATGGCTTGCACTCTCAGAGTTTGGTGGTGCACACATGCATGAGCATTACACATAGACTAGAGTGAGCTGTGTAAAAAGCGGCCCACGTGGGTCATTTTAGATCTTGTCCAAGAGGGCTTCTTGAAGAGGTAAATAGAACTCAGAAGAAAGAAGCTGTAGGCATCTTGAGATGCCCAAGGGCAGAGAAAAGAGTAAGTGACCTCCTGGAATGGAGATACATATGCCCCAGTCAAGGTGAAAGATTCCTAGCAATAGTGGAGGGGGTGAGGAGAAATGTAGATCTCCAAAGAAACCACAAAAGTGCCCCCTGTGAAAATTAGTAAGACTTAAATATTTGTCCTATCCAGAGAATACCAACGCCAGATTACCACAACAGTTCTGGTCAAGTAAGAGCTTTTTGCTTTCTTTGCCTCTTTTCCTTTCCCTGCATTAAAGGTCACAAGTTAGCCAGATGACTAAAGAGGAAAGCTGAGTGAAGGGGACAGAACCGTGACCACCATTTCCCTAATTTCAGGCTTTTCATCTATAGTAGGGTCAAGTGTGGCAGAGGGAGGGGAGGGAAATAAGCCCTAACTTTAAAGCAAGATTAAAGTTCTGATTAGATGGGCATTCTGATTTCTAAATAAGCCTGTTTTGTGTTTTGAAGTGATTAAAAATGGTCTGTATTACCTTAGAGCAACAGGTAAGTAGATTTCATCCAGTAGTCCACACATGGGGGCCCAGTGAATGTTAGTTCCTAGACTCCTCCACATCAGTCTACATGTCAGCTTTGCACCTGACATGGATTTTTCTGCTTCTATGGTTTTGATCTTTCCATTTCCTCTACATGTTCTTTCCTTCTCACCATTTAAAAAAATTAAATATTTAATTTTCACGGACCTTTTCTTATCATCTGTCTCACAAATGACCTCCCCCTCCTCTGAAATCTTACAATTGAGGCTATTGGGACCATTATGGGACACAGCTCTGGTGACTTTTCTTCCCTCTGTGGGCAAGTCCCTTCAAGGCAGGGACATCTTATCTTGTATTCATAGTAGTGGTTAAGTGAGGGCACGCAGTAGGAGCTGATCAATATCAGGATAAATAAAGATGTATACATTTCCAGGAAGACCCTTCTGTCTTCACCAGGTCCCCTCTCAGGGACAGAAACCAACTTCCCACCTATGAAGCTCCTTAGCACTTTCTTACACTTTAGGGGTTGGGTACCAGGAAAGGGAAGAGGATCCACCCATTTTGCAGCTAACCAGCTGTAGTTGAAATGGCTCAATTCCCAGTGTTCTTCAGAAGCTTTCAGTCTGAAGTAGAGTCTGCTAGTGGGCTGAGCATGTTGGTGAGATGTAGCCCTGTCATATTGACACTGGGGACATTGGCTAGCTTACTGCTGAGCTTTCTCCATCTTCCTGCACTACATTTTAGGCCAATAGGCCTGGGAACTGAGAACAGTACTGGCTGCCAAGGCATGGCATCACTAGCTCCTGAGGAGATCTACCAGGATCCCTCTTGGTACCAGTTCTTGAGGTGATTATCTATTCATTCAACCTATATTTACTGCACACCTACTCTGTGCTACATTATTATATATACCTTCCCTGCCCTCATGAAGCTTATCAGCTTGCCAGGAAGTCAGAATTTAAATGAATAGCTGCAATTTTGCTGGGTGTAGCAAAAGGGAAGTAATCAGAGCCACTTGACAGCAAAGACTTAAAACATGAGACAATCAAGTCAAGACACTTGACATAAGACAATCAGGACTTGGGTCAAGATGGCCACTTGATCCAACTGTTCAGAACTACAGACAAATAGTAGAACTAAAAATTTGACTTTCCTTTCAACTTACAATACCATCACCTACGTTTATAGCAGCAAATATATATCTACAGCTACAACTCAAGCCAAGACATGCACTGTTTCAGTTTCCATAAAGTTTAGTTTTAGAAACAGGTGCAAAAGGCTTGGAATGAGATTGAAAACTGGCAGCCAGTGAATGGCT